GCAGAACTGGGCAATATCCATCAGATTGCAAAAATGTGAACAACCTGCATTTATATCAGTATCCTTCAATTTACACAGACATGAAAGGCCCCAACATATCTTGGAATCCTTTTACAATAGCCATTAGAAAGGCCTGGATGGACCTACACAGCAAAATCGTCATCTTTTCTTTCAGTATATCTGCTTTTCTCCAGGCCAGGCGTAATGATTTCTTTTCTTTCTTCCTTTTTTTTTTTTTTTTTTGCAACTTTACCTCCCCATGGGCTGGAGCGATAGCACAGCGGTAGGGCGTTTGCCTTACAAGCGGCCAACATGGCCTAACCCGAGTTCGATTCCTCCGCCCCTCTCGGAGAGCCCGGCAAGCTACCGAGAGTATTCGATATGCCAGACACAGTAACAACAAAGTCTCCAATGGAGACATTACTGGGCCCGCTCGAGCAAATCGACGATCAATGGGAGGGCCTTTACCTTTTTTTACCTCCCCATAAATACAATAGTTTCTCCCTTCTACTCCACCATATTCTAATCCATTCAACACTGACTAGGCACCCAATGAGACTGAGCGTGGCTTCAGCTTTGCCCCACCCACCACCCAACTAAATACCCTAAGGCTTGTAAGTTGTTAAGTGGCCCCTTTTGCATATCAATTTCCTTATATCTATGATTCTCAAAACTTCTGAATTTCAAGATTTGTAGGGTTTTTTGTTTGGTTGGTTTTTGGGTTTGTTTGTTTGTCTTTGCTTTTTGGGTCACACCCAGTGACGCACAGGGGTAACTCCTGGCTCTGCACTCAGGAATGAAGGACCATATGGGATGCCAGGGATCAAACCCAGGTTGGCTGCATGCAAGACAAACGCCCTCTCTACTGTGCTATCGCTCCAGCCCCAAGATCAGTAGTTTTTAATTGTTACTTAACCAACTATTACATCTTTCTCAGAAAAAGACAAATTTTTAACATAGTAAAAGTGAAAAAGATAATCTCAGAATAAAAAGGTGAATGCAACTAGTTTTGTGAAATTCAGTTTCACAGTCTTTTTCTTATTTTGCAGCAGTCAACACAGAACACTACCAGGGACTCGGACTTGAGGAGGATTAAGGTTATGTTTCATAATTGGTCTCCTTGCAACAATTTATTCCAGTTTACCCTTTACTTTAGTATTGGTACTACATCTACTGCTTGATCATTGAACTTTATTCCTTGCATCACTGCTCAAATACTGTCTCCTTGATTTGGAGTAAGTCTGTCTGCATTCTTTCCTGTTTAAGTATCCAAATATATTCTTTCCCCTTTTTTACAAAAATCTCTCAACCCTGCACCAATCAATTGTGGTGCATGTCTAGGATGGCTCTGAAGGATCCCTGGATTCTGGTTTCACACCTTGGTCTCTTCTCATACTAATCTAGGCTGGTCCGGATCATCAATAGATTACAGGGCAAGTGCAAACACGTCAGTTTGGAGAATAGGTTGTAAAGAAAGCACATAGCTTCGGTCTTGGTCCTTCACTCTTGGATCTCTAGAGGGAGGCCAGATGTCAGGTCCTAGGGGTACTCAGACTACCCATGCAGAGGGCTTTGTGGTGAAAGATTGAGCTCTGGGGCCAGTAATTGGTGAGGAGGAACAAAAATCCATCAACAACCATGAGAATGAGCATGGAAGCAGCTTGCTCAGCGGCTAGCCAAGTCTCAAGAGGACTACAGATTGTGTTGAGGGTTTAATTGCTGCCTTCCTGCACCAGGACTTCTGCTAAACTCTCCTCAGATACAGTGAGACAAAAAAATGTTTGTGTTTTAAGTCTAAGTTATGTAGCAACAACAGTTAACTAAGATATATTTTCTTGCCAGCCAACAACATATATCTTTCTCTTTACTGTACTTGTGCTTGCTTGGCTCTCCAATTATTCCAACTCCAGCAAACATCTGCCTGTCAGCCTTTCCACCAGACCCCCCCCCCCCCCTCACTTTTCATCTGATTCTGCCTCTCATGCTCTCGGCAGGAAGCATTCTTTCCTTCAACTCCATAACACAAGATACACTCTATGTACCATTCTTCTGGTATTATTTTACAGTCTCTCACTTACTAGATCATTCCATAAATTTTTACTGAATGTCCTGAAGAAATGAATACCGAATATGATACAATAAAGAAGCTGTTATGAACAACAAAGCAGTATGTATGGTACCATCAGAAATCTAGAAATGCTTCTCAGTTCCTTCTCTCACCATAGACCATAAATAACGCAGTTCTCTTGATTTTATTGCTAAGTCTCTCACCAGGTCATCTCTTGCCCGGGTTCAGTCACAGCTTGCTAGCTTGTCTCCAAGCCTCTAATCTCCAAGTCCAGGCTTTTTTCTGTCATCTTTGTTATCGGCTCATTACCGTCAGCATGAAAATATACAGTTTAATATATAATACTGACTTACAAGCTTTACACATTAACTTAAGCCTTTCCCAAGTTCCTATGCTCTTCTTTGTAGTCCAGGAGCACCGAACTTGTCTTAAGATGCTTGTCTCTAGACTCAGAAGAGGTTGTTTCTTTGACTGAAAAGACCACTTCCATCCATTGAACATTGTTACAGCTTCCAAGAACTTGAAGGCTTCTAGATATCTTAACTGAGGCATTCTAACTCAAAGATTCTCAAACTTAGGGTGCCTCTTATACAGGGAAAAAAAATTAAAAAATCACTCAGTGGTCCCCACCTCATTCTTCCACCATCCCGCCCCAACTCTGGGAATCCATAACTGAACAGTGCTCCCCAACAGTACCCAAGGTCTCTACTGTACCCCTCGATCTGGCCAGCACCTCTGAGACATAAAGGCCACCCTGGGAAATGAACACCGCTGAACTCATTCACGTCCATCTTCCTACCACACCCTGAACCTTCCCATCACCACCCAATGTCAAAGAGTCCTTGTGTCTCCCACTGAAGAACAGGCTCTAGGGGGCAGAGAACACAGCTTCCTTGCTATCAAACCTCCAATGTCTGGCATACAGTAGGTACTCAGCAAATGCTGGTTGAGTTGAATTAATCCCTGACAACACTCCCCATTTTTAAAGTTTAAAAGACTGACTTTGTCAACTGTGAAATGTCTACAGTCTATACAGACTATAACTATACAGCACTTTTAAGAACTTGTAAAACTTTTAAGAACTTGTAAATATTTTATTGCAAACAAGTGCAAATGTCCAAAGGGGCTGACATATAACTGCGTACACAAACATAGTGTGAGGAATGGAGCTGGGCAATCTGGCAAGCATATCTCACATTATAGGTATCAGTCATTACTCACCTTAATCTAAGTCCCAGGAGTAAGAAAGATATTCTGAACTCTCTCTGGGGAGAGGAGCAAGTTCCTAAGTAGTGCTGAGATGAGGGAAGCCCTCCTAGATGTTGATTCTCAGCCAATCAGGCCAGGGATGCAGGGGCACAAGGAAGAAGTATTGCACCATACTGTTGGTGGGGGTAAGGGGACAAGTGGAAGTTTTATCTGAGCCAGCACTCTGCTCTGGGAGTCTCCAGAACTGCAACAGAAATGCCAGGATCTAAACTGAGATTGGCCATAGCATAGGGAAGACATGCGCCTTAGCCCCTATTCTAGCTTTCTGGCACCAGATGTTCTAAACGTTTAAAGCAGCTGGAAAAGTTTAGGATTTCAAAATGTTAGTGCAAACTGTTTATCAATCCACGCAGAGAGAGAGAGAGAGAGAGAGAGAGAGAGAGAGAGAGAGAGACTGCCATGGAAAGGGAAGGGGGAAAACTAGGGACATTGTGGCAGGAAATGGATATTGGTGAAGAGATGGGAATTGGAACATTGTATGAGTGACAATCATGAACAACTATACGTCAGATCTCCCTTGCATTATCAATTTTTAAACGGGACCTTCAGTTCTAAGAAGGAACAACGGGGCTAAGCGTATAATTTGAGACCTTCCCTGGGTTTTCCAATTTATACCGACATGGTTTACCCCTTCTAGTTTTTGTCTAGAAGCCAAGGCATTTTTTTGCAATCTCGTCTGCATCTCCGCACACAGTGAAGGTGTTCAATAAAGTTGTCTAAGTGAAAAGTACAAGCGGCGCAAGGGTGAACTTCCTCTGCCCTGGGAGTTAAGTAATCATTTCTCTGTTCCTCCCATTAAAAGAGGCAAAGAGCAAGAGCTCACTCAAAACACAGATGGACTACCAAAGCACAGCTCCAGTTCTGCTAAGCACCAACTGCATGACAAATCTCAAGCTGGCGACCAGCGGGCACACAGACGCACTCTTGGTTCCCGGTCCATCGTAAACGCGCCACGGTCCCTTCTTTGGCTCGTCCTGAGGGTAAGTTGTTCTAAAATTCACGCTTAGGACGCGAAACGCTCTCCTCCCTCGGTTAAATTTTTTTGCAACATCTACTTGCAAGTTCCCGCCCAGGGGGAGCTCAGGTCCAGGTGCAGAGACAGCCAGGGCTCCTGGCCTCCGACCCACCAACTCAGCGTAGGCGGCTAGTGGTTGGGAGTCGCGTCAGAACCCGCTCGAAGCCCCAACCCGACCCGCTCCAGACCCGCTCCCGTCTTGGCGCCCTACTAGTGCCCAGACTTCAGGGACTAAAGGTCACCGACGGCTCCGCCCCTACCTGCACGCCGCCCCGCCGCGAGCAACAGTTTCCCTCCGCAGCGTTGCAGCCAGACATAGCCGGGACGAGGGAGGGGTGGGGGAAACCTGCAAGAACCTCCGATGTCCGTGCGCCGAGGCCCCACGCGTCCCCGCGAAAGGCAGACTCCGCGGTCAGTCCCCCGTGCGATCAGGCGGCGCCGAGGACAGCCCGGGGGCGGGGCTGGCCATGCGGAAGGCGGGGCGGAGGGAGACCACGTGATGTAGCCGCCCAACATGGAAGGCGGGGCGGGACTGGAGAACTTTGGGCGGGGCCAGAACTGTCCAATCAGACGCGACTCCCGTCCTGGAGGCGGGACCTATGCGGTGGAGGCGGGGCCTGGGACGGGTCCTGCCGCCCGAGCGCTCCGGCTGTGCCGCCTATTGCCCGGCTGAAGGCCTGGAAGATGGCGGCCTCCTGGAGGCTTGGCTGTGACCCGCGGGTGCTGCGCTATCTCCTGGGTTTCAGCGGCCGGCGGAGCCCGGGCTTGGCCAAGGGGGCTGCTGGGTGGTCTGTCGGCTCCGGAGCTAGTTGGAGATGGTTTCACAACACTCCGTGGCAATGGGGTGAGTGGCTGGGGCTCTCCCCAAGCTTCCCCGTAGCCGAGCAACGGGCCTGGGTCAGGGGCTTGAGGATGCAGGCCCGTACCCGGGGGTGGAGCTTCTCGGCGTTTCCTCGGTCCCTTGGCTTATTTTATTGTATTTAATTCTGGAGTAGGGTTCGCTGATTTGGCCTGGTGTGTCCCGTGAAGGTCTTTCTTGGGACGGGGAGAACTTGACTCAGTCCCCTGACCCCCCGCTGGATCGTGGCTTCTCGGTGACCTTGCCTCGGAATTTGGGTTATTTGTGAGGCGCAGAGAGAAGTCCCAGATATTCTCTTTGGCGGCTCCTTCTTCTGCGTCTCATGCCGGGTTCCTTTACGGGGGAGAGTCACCCGAGTTGGCGGGAGAGCCCATGAGCCGCTGTTAGCGGTTCTGATTCATTCTGTTTGGAGACCCGTTTCCCGACTGGGCTGGTTCCGCGGCACGCCTAGTGAAGGACTTCAGGTTGAAGGCACCTAAAACCCGGGACACGCTTTAACCAAGACACGCTCAGGAAAGGAGGCAAGTTTAGGAAGAAGCTTTTGATACAAAGTTACCACCGAATTCAGTGTTTGACAGGTGCAGTACTTCCGGCATGTAGCTGTGTAACGCTACGGTTTAATCCCCTGGCATTTTGCTTTACTTGGAACAGAGGTGCAGGGTGGCGTTAAGACTTAAGCTTTTGTTCTTTTTCTTTTGTAAAGTTTAGTGTGATGTGTTACTTGTTTATCATTCTAGCACCTTTACAGCAGAAGTTCAGAGTAAGTTTTGGAGTAAGTTTACTTTAGAGTGAGTTTAGTCTAAAAAAGTTTAGATTTATTCTAAAAAAAAAAAATAGGTGTTTGGGGCCGGAGAGTTAGGACGGCGGGTAAGACGCTTGTCTTACATGTCACTGATCCAGGTTCAATCCCTGGCACTATTATGATTCTCTTGTGTCACCAGGAGTGATCCCCTGAGTACTGAGCCCAATAAGACTTGAGCACCGGTGATGTGGCCCAAACAAAAATAGAACAAAACAGAAAATTAAGGGGGAGGGGGCGGGGCCGGAGCGATAGTACGGCAGTGTGGGGCATTTTTGCCTCACTTGTGGGCTACTTGTGGGCTGGAGCGACATCACAGCAGATAGGGCGTTTACCTTGCACGCCGCCGACTAGGTTGATTACTGCGCCCCTCTCAGAGAGCCGGACAAGCTACTGAGAGTATCTCACCCACACGGCAAAGCCTGGCAAGCTACCCCTGACATATTCATATGCCAAACACAGTAACAACAAGTCTCACAATGGAAACATTACTCGGCCCGCTTGAGCAAATCAATGAACAACGGGAGGACAGTGCTACAGTGTGGCCCACCCAGGTTTGATCCTTGGCATCCCATAAGGTGCTCTTAGCACCATTAAGAGTGATCCTTGAGGGCAGAGCCAGGAATAAACCCTGAACACCACCTGGTGAGGCCCAGATACAAACAAAAAATTAGGTACGCTGACCATGAACTTTCGTTCTCAGCTGCAAGAAAGCTTTTAAAATAAATTTCAGAAAGTTCCGAGATTCCTAGAAATTAGATTGAAACCGTATTTTTTTTCTGGTTTGATGTTTTGTAAATTATTGGTCGGACTAATATTAGTGCTTTATCTGTATATAGAATCTCAAAGTGTCACCCCGCCCCGCATCCAGTTAAATATTGAACTTTACTACAGCTCAGGTCTTTTTATGGGGATGGAGTAAAGCAGCTCAGCATTCCGCATTTTGCACACAGCAGATGAGTTTTTATGGGGTTTTTTTTGGTTTGTTTGTTTTGGTGCCATACCCAGTGTTGCTTAGGCCTTACTTAAGATTTTGCACTCAGGGTTCTCTCCTGGCGAGCTTGGGGACCATATGGGGTGCCAGGGATCGAACCCAGGTTAGCCTCAGGAAAGGCAAGTGCTTTCCCTGCTCTACCATCTCTCCAGCTCTTGAATTTTGATGTTTGATAGGGTTGCCTTTGAGACTCATGACCTTAGAAAATCATGGACTAGTATAAACTCAGTGATGGGAATAACCTAAAAGAGGATTCTAAAGCTTGTTGTGAAACCTTTTTAAGAAGTGAATGCTCTCAGACCCTCTTCACAGAGAAAAGAGTAAATATGCACATTTCTCTATAGGTAGTTTTAGGACATTTCTCTACAACCAATGAAAAGACTCTTGCCTGAGGAAACTTACTTAAGCAATCATTATCTTAACACCATGACACTTTGCCTACCTTGACACACAATAGGAACAACTTGCCTAACTGCTTGAATATTTCTGTAAAGGAGAGGACCTACATCTAGGGGAAAAACACATTGTGTGCATTCTGCATCCTCTGTTCTTCTCAGTGGTTCTTTGGGCCCACCTGAATAATGACTGGGTTGTGCTCCCTAATGCTGTCAGCTCTCCAGCAACCTTGACTCTCTTTGGCTTTAATCCCCTTTTCCATGTAACAGTATAGGAAGTAACAGGTTATGAGTGTTTGGGATACATCTGCGGGAAGATTGGTGGGTTTCAGTGAATTAGTTTGCCTTCCATAGAAGCTGATGGTGTTGTTTGATAGTTTTACATTCTTGGGAAATCTTGTTTTTGTTTTCTAAGACTGAGTCAGAATCCCCCAACTCCCCCCCCCCCACCAGTGTTTTACTTTTGTTAAAAGTGCACTGGTTTTTGTTTTGCCATGCCAAAAACACATTGGTTTCGTAAAAACACATAGTTTTGCTCTGATCTTGGTAGAAATTATAATTTCATAAAACTAAGAGACTATCTGCTATTCTAGACTATTCTAGAAATTATGTGCATTAAGTACAGTTATTAAAATATTACCTCTTTCCAGGATTTAAAAGTCTATTACAGTTGAGAATGCAATTGAGGTTTTGATTTTCTTGAAAGATGCTTGTTGGCAGCATTTTAATGAACCATGATAAATATGTTGAGTAGTTAAGCACTTCTGGAACTACTTCTTCACTTCTCACAACAAACTAGTAAGGTTGGCATTTATTTGCATTTTATTAGAAAATAAAAAAGACTGGAGCCAAAACTACAGTATAGCAGATGGGGTGTTTGTTTCACACACAGCTAAGTCGAGTTCGATCCCCAGCACCCCATATAGTCCCTTCCTCTCCCACAGACCATTCCAGAGCCAGGAGTAAGCCCTGATCACCGCTGAGAATATCCCAGAACAAAAGAAAAAAAAAAAACAAAAATACTAAGACTCAGAAGAAATTACATGATTTTCCCATCATAGAAATTTTCTCATCATAAAATTCCCAGCTTCCTTAAGAATGTGCTATCCCAAAAGGAGAGAGAGAACAAAAGGGAATGCCCTGCCACAGAGGCAGGGTGGGATGGGGGGTGGGAGGGATACTGGGATTAGTGGTGTGGAGGATGGGCACTGGTGGAGGGGTGGGTACTCAATCATTGTATAGCTAAAAACCTAAGCACAAATTTGTAAGTCTACAACTGTACCTCATGGTGTTTCACTAATAAAAAAAAAAATAAAAGAATGTGCTGTCAGGTTCTAAGTACATGAAAGAACCAACAGATTCCTTAAACAAATTTCAGTATATGATAATTTTTTAAAATTTGATAGACTGCATTTACTGTAGCTAGTGACTACTCAATATTTATGTACTCAACATTGTATAAATCAAGGACTTATGTTACATGAAGCATTTCTTATAAGAGAAACAAGAACTATTTCATGAACATTTCTGTTACATAATGAATAGGGTTCCAGATATAAAAGCTTCCTAGGGAAACTTTCTGGCACTGGTTCTTAGAGGAGTACAAATTACTTCTTTTCTTCTTTATTTTTTGGTTTTGGGGGCCACACTCAAATGATCAAGTGATACTTAATGCTTATTCCGTCTCTGCACTCAGGGATCACTCCTGGCAGGATTCAGAAAAACCATATGTGATGCCATGGATTAGACACAGCACCACTGGGTATGCAAGGCAAGCGCCCTACCCACTGTACTATCACTTCAGCCCACAGATTGTTTTAAAATTAATAAAAGCTGTAGCACTTTCTTCAGAAGAATGCCTGTGTGCAAAGTTTTGTATATGGTTCTAGGGAATCTATAACTCTCCATTAACTTATATATAAATATCACCTAATCTCCAGCCTGTTTTCATAAACATCTCGGTCATTTCCTCTTTTGCAAGGATATTTTCCACATTAGAGAATAAGAAAGATGTGTTTTTACATAGGCATTCCAGCTATGAGCACATAACTTATGGATGCATCTATGTATTACTGTATCATTGCCGTCCCGTTGTTCGTTGATTAACTCCAGCGGGCGCCAGTAATGTCTCTATTCCTCCAGCCCTGAGATTTTAGCAGCCTCTTCTTACTCGTCTTTTCCCAATGATTGGAAGCTCGTTCAGGGTTAGAGGAATGAGACCTGTTGTCGTTACTGGTTTTGGCATATCGAATACACTACGGGGAACTTGCCAGGCTCTGCCCGTACGGGTGGGATACTCTTGGTAGCTTGCCGAGCTCTCCGAGAGTCATATATTTATATATTTCTCTCTATGATTTGTTGCCTACTGTCTGAACCCCATCAAATATAGTGAGGCAATTATAGAAAATGGATAGAAAGTGCCCTATAATGTGTTGCGGTCCAGAAAGCAGCCTGGAGAGTGGCAGCGGTTGGGTATTGGAGGTCAGCTGCGAGGGCTGGGTCCCTTGGGGTGGGGAGGGCTCTCACCTGCTCCACTCTGGGGTGCCCTGAGTCAAAACAGCCTGGCATCTATATAAGTCCCTGTAATTAAGCCATGATTAGGAGGTCTTGATTCAGTAGTGGATCTCTGTGGATATAGGCATTTCATCAGATACCATTCCCAAAAGTACAATATCTACTACTTTTCCTTTTACTCATGTTTTCCCGTCTAATAGAATGATCTTGCTTGGGTTTGGGGAAATAAACTTTTTTAGTTAAATATTTGTTCTTTGGCCCTCCTAAGTGATGCCCAGGACCA